CAGTGTCACAAGACGTCATGGTTTCTCGTGACACAACCAGCCGAGTGCAGCTCCGAATTTTCTAGATTGACCAAGGTGAGGCGCCACATGCTACGAATCTCAACATCCGTTCATGCGTTTCCACCTGCACCTAGTTCAGGTCTTCACCGCTACGTTTTAACGCGCTGCGCTAGAAGACGATCTCAATCACCATACCGTCGACGTTTTCCGTCAGCCTGAGCGATTCGGAAGGCCACTCTGGGGGCCGACGGAATCACGAGTCCAGCGGCGCCAGCTTATGATTTTCTACCCATGGCTGCTGCAACGGTTTTCTCTGGTCTGGTCTCGTCGCGCGCTGCGTGGAAGAGCAGATGGCTCGCATGCGCCGACGCGAAGTTTGCCGAAATCGACACATCGGGATTGGAACATCTTTTTTGCCGTGCGTGTTTCCTACGAGGCCATTCCGCCTCTAGAAGTGGATGAGGCCCAAGCAATGCTTTGGTTTTCGCTCAAAGCACGCACACTCATCTATGATGCGGTGATCGGAAATATGCGGAAGACTGGTACACGTGATTTTTGTTTACTGCAGGTGAATTCCAGCTGGATTCTGTGATTGTTACCTGTATGTAAATATATGTAGTCGTAAGACAAAAAACAAAAACAAAAACAAAGGACAATTAAGTTGTCCGCGAATGGTCATAAAATAAAAAAAAAACTCTTTTCTTTAAGACGTGGATTCCCTGATTTATCTCTTAACCTCCCCAAGGTATTTGCAACTTATTCTCGCTAAACGTTAAACAGTTTAAAGCGAGCCGAAGCACCCGCACGTGCAGTGATTTTGGTCTTTGTTTCTTCTAAATATTGTCAGAATGTTGCTGTTAAGATGTTCACCTCTCCCAGCGCCAACTCCATGAAAGTACTCTTTAATAAGTGCGCAATTCAGTGGAGGATACATCAAGGCAAGTGACTGCGGAACTGTATTATTCTTTGTAATATAGCAATACAAATTTGTCAGAATTATTCGTTGCTTGATATAATGCCTTGTACCCTCTATCTCTGCGGGTTCATGCGTTTTTCGAAGATAGCTGTTGGAGCGCACAAGCTGTATTAAAACGTTTCGGGCTCAAACAAACGATCTTTTGGAAATCGCCACCGCACCAGCAGAGTCAAAAAAACGAAAGACAAGAACATAGCATACTCGAAGCAGAAAGAGGAAGGGGGAAAAACGAAAGAGAGGGGGGGGGGGGGGGGGGGGGGCTGTGGCAGTTGCGGCCTGCGCGCCGCGCGATCCGCGCCGTTTGTGCCATCTGTCGGCAGCTCTGTGCCGATTTTTCCTTCTACCCAGACTTATAGTTCTATTCGTGACTCCAGGAAAACGGACGCCACCAAGCGGGAAAACCGGGAACCAGCCGGAACACGTCGTTTTGCGCCCCTCCGCTTCTCTGGTGGCTTTCACGGACACGTTTTGTCGGCGCGGTGGCAAAGAATGTAATTTGGGGAAGGTCCGAAAATTTCTCAAGTTTGCATGAGTGTTCATTAGTGTGGTGAAACCTCAGTAGATTGTTTCCTTCCATCACGTGTTTGGAAGCCCGTTTACTCTACAACGCACGGTCGCGTGCTTTCGATTTCTTGGTTGGGGAGGAATCGCGGAAAAACGCTTTGATTTCTTGTCTGTCTCGAATCACATTCAAAGTGACGACCACTTGGTAACTGATAAGTGGTTTCTTTATAAGAATGTAGAACAGTGAACTGAGGACGATAGACGAGGTGTTTCACTCGAGGGAACAGCAATTTTGCAGTCAAGTGAATGGGAAGGTTCGATAGCTGCTTTTCTTGAGTTTGGTTGTGTTCGATCAGCTTCAAGTTTGAGGCACCCACGCCGGTCGGTGCGTTCGCAATTCATCTTGACTGCTTTTTGTCGGAAAAGCCTCTGGACCACACCGAAGGAGTTGGACTGATTTCGCAATTACTTGATTCCGGAAAACTTGCTCGCTGCATACCATTAATGAGGGAAATTGTCTGCTTTCAAAAGGTGGGGGCCGCGTCTCGCAAAGTTAGTAGCTGTCACGGCATTATGATCTGTCGCGCCTCCAATATTTCTATTATATCCCCGTCGAAGCCAGCAGCAATATACGTCTACATTGCTCAGGTTGACCGGCCACAAAAAATACTAATTTTGTCCGTTCAGGATTCGAAGTCAAGTTCAATGCAGAGAGGTTCTGCGTGAATCTCCGATGAAGACTCTCTTCAGTTTGTCTCCGTGCTGCCGGCTAGAACCATTTGGCTGAGTTTAAGTAGTATCTCTTTGTCTGTCAAATAAACTTTTATTGAGCAGTTCACTTAATAGCTAGTCAACGAAGCTCATATTTCAACCCGAAGAATATACTAATATCGCTTTAGTGGGACATAGTACGTATTATACTACATAATACAGCATATTCTTCAATATGACTTCAAGATTGCTACTAAAACCTGAATTGAAATAAGAGTATCAACTGCTTAGTGGGGCGCCCACGGGTTAAAATGCTGCTTGGCTCAAGAAGCGCTTGCTTAATTTTCGTAATTTTCCTGAAGCCTGTGTTGTTGACCGAGCAGACGACTGGAGCTGTTTCTTAAACGCGGGTACGCACAAAAGCTCGATTTCGCGGACAGATAAGTCGCATGGTCGAGGCATGCGAGTTAGCTAAAAATTACCCTCGGTGGAACAATTATGTAGTCATCGCCGCTTTCCTTAGCTGATCAAACCTGATCAGAGTCTATCACTGTTTCTCCGGAGCCCATAGTTTCGGTTTTGAACGAAATCTCTGAAACGAACGTTTGACATGAAAACAACAAAATACACCGAGAAAACAAAAGTTTTGACTGCGAGTTTATGTGCACCGGCTACACTTAACCGTCGTAGTTCAAATACCTATAAAATGGGGCATTAAACAAAAGAAAATCTGTTAAATTGAATGCGCCTCCCGTTCAGGTGGCCCGGCCGAGTCGACGCGACCTGGACCCAGCCGCCATGTTTATTTGGTGGTGGAGCCCAATTATAAGTGGTTAAAAAACTACTTATCAGTTACCAAGTAGTCGTCACTTTGAATGTGATTCGAGACAGAAAAAGAAATCAAGACCTTTTTCCGTGATTCCTTTCCATCCAAGAAATCGAAAGCACGCGACCGTGTGCTGTGGAGTAGACGGGCTTTCAAACACGTGATGGAAGGAAACAATCCACTCAGGCTTCACCACACTAATGAACACTCAGGCAAGCTTAAAAAGATTTCCAACCTTCGTGAAATTACACTGTTCTCCACCGCGCCGACAACACGTGTCCGCGAAAGCCACCAGAGACGCGGAGGGGCGCGGAGCGACCTGGGTCGGCTGGTTCCCGGTTTTCCCGCTTGGTGGCGTCCGCTTCGCTGGAGTCGCGAATAGGTCGCTGGAGTCGCGATACCCGCACCGACTCGTGTCGCTAGTTTTTCGCTACCGCGGTGGAGGCTACAGCTGTACCCGGTTGACATAACGATGCACGTCAGTGTGTCACCTGGCGTCAATGTAACATGACGTCGCGGTAACACGTGACTTCCCACCGTCATATGACGTCATGATGTGACGAAACATCACAGTCTTCACATAGAAACGGATGACCCTAGGGTTTTCTCTCTCAAAACTCATCACTGTTCCGGCTTCACGGGCAAACAGCATTTATTGCGAACACCATGACGTTATCATCTAGACTTTACCATCGAGACTACATGCCGTGGACACGTAGACCATGAGAGCTGGCTCTACAAATGCTGTAAGTTGACATAGAGCATCCGATTTTTTGCTTTAATGAGTTTTGAAAGAAGAATTTTCCTCTGCTTTGTTGTCGTCCTTGAGGTAGTGCATTGTTGTTGCTTTGCCAATGCATTTTTTGTCGCCGGATCTGCTTTTCGAACAAAGCTGCTCAATTTCCTCATTTCCATTTTTTCCTCAAACGTCACGCGATACAAATACCTTGGTACACACGAACTAACATAACATTTTGTACCCGTTGTTCTTGGCTCCGCATTAACCACCTAAATAAGTACTAGGTTATTTAAACTTAGTTCTATTACAAGGTTTACATACTTCTTTATTGTCATTTATCAAACCACTACCCGAGATATTGATACCGCATTTATTTTAATTTCGTAAGTATTATTTGAGTCTCAGGTAAACCTATTCGCGGACATCTTTATATTTCACCGAAGGAAAACGAACATATTTTGTTCCAATGACGAAAAGTTTCCCTCATGCTTTCAAACTGAACATTTCAAGAACACAGGAGACGTCATGGTAATGCAAAAATAAAGACAAGTTATTAGTTAAAGCACATTATGACTTTCTCACTTACCAGGCAGCTCCTGTAGTTCTCTCAGTTATACGCGTGCTTTGTTGGAAATTTGACATATAAGCATCTGGGTCATGATTCGCTTTCGTAGTTTTATTTATTGTATATGCTGTAAAAAGAGGTGCTTCGATACACTGGCTCTAGAACTTCTGATTCTCCCTAAGAAGACGCTGAAAAGAAAGCCCGTAAAACTTGGGGGTGGGGGCGAGGAATGTATAAATGAATGAAGCAGTACACTAGTTGTTATCAAGTAAAGGGAAAAATTATAATCGTCTACGGGGCATAAAATATCTGATCTGACAAGATACTTAGGATGAAAATGCAGCGACAAATAATTTCGTTTCTCGAACTTTTAGAAGCATTGCGCGTCAAGTGCTTGGTACACAAGTAGCACACTTCCTCGGCCCAGGCTTGGGCCGCACTGGCACGAGCTAGAGCCAGCTTGGCTGAAGCCTGGCGGAAGCTTGCGCCAAACTGGCTCAAGTATGAGCCAGGGAAGTGTGCTGCAAAATCTCTGAGTACTAATTGTTGTGATTCACTCCCTGGGAAAGTATACTTTCCCAGGGAGTGAATCACAACAATTAGTACTCAGAGATTTTGTGGTGAATATGTAAGAACCCACAGAGTGCAGCCCAGGTTCAACGTGATGTACGCGTCTTACCATGAATAGATAGCGTATTGAGCGTTGTGATCATGACCATTTTTGGACCGTTGCCGCACTTCCAAGTCACATCGTAGGGTGGGCTGGAGTCCCACAAGGTAGAATGACCTATCCACTTCACCACTGCCGTGTTGTTTGGCAGGACGGTAAATGTGACATTGGTCGGATACCGAGGAACTGCAAAAAAGTTAGGGCAATTAGGCAACCCGTAAGGTAAAGCAATGCGAAAGCTGAGGTGTGACGTCAGTGCCCCTAAGGTGTCATTCTAGCAGATGAAGTAAATGCACGTTAAACGTGCGAATGCGCACCATAGAGTACGCATAGGTTTTGCTAATGAACCCAGTAATACACCGGACGGGAGTTCCATCGTGTTTTGTAACCAATAAAGGTTGATTAAGTAGACAGAATTTCGTGAAGTTGTTAAACAATTATATTGGGCACAAACTAGGACCGCCTTGTGGTAATTGAAGAAACCTTTAAAAAAATGCGCGCCCAATTTTAAAGTTGGGGAAACTTCGAAAGTGCATATGCATGCATGAACCGTTTCCTGCCGTTGGTGTGGCTGCCTGAACGTCTTATGCAATGCTCTTGCATATGCACTAACACCGACTTGTGGTCACTGAAAAGCACTTCCGAAATCGCGCACTCGAGTTTCAAGCATTGTAGCTCCACCTAACTTCACGCCCGTGGTTTCGCCGGCTTAACACCTACCTACATTTATTCGTTGGGTCGCCCGAGAACCTTTCTGGCATTAATAGCGAAGACTGTTTGTGTTTATTGCTTCCATTATGGGAAGTGTCATGTTTATGTTTCTACGTGCCGCCGTGGTCGACGAAAATATTCCTTGGAGAAGGGGAACAAGGGGGACAAAGGAAAACACATCGCCATGGTGTCACGTGACGACGTATGATCACATGACATATGAATGTCACGTGACGTCATGACATCACGTGACTCAAGGTGCCGCCTAACGTCATTAAGACGCGTGGCGTCACTGTGCAACGGGACTCGACATGAAAATGCAACATCATGGAATCCGCTGACGGAGGGTAACAGGCGGCGCGGTGCGCAGCGTGACCTCAATTTAAAATCTTTTGGCGGAGTGTCGAAAATGGCATCTCGTCGATACGGAGCACGGTCGACGGCGCGAAAAACGCGAAGTATGCCACAAACTGCTATCGCAGTAATAACGAAAATTAACATAGCAACAGATCATTCGAGATAGGCAACGGTCGCACACTTTATGCTCATTCCTCATGAGCGTCCTGTGTATGTCTTTACGTTCTTTCGGCGCGTGCTTTCCCAGGAGTCCTACGAGAAAGCGAAGACACGTGTACATATGTAAACAATGCGAAAGTGAATTAAAACATGCCATTAAACTAAAGCTGTCAATGATAAAAACTTTGAATGCTAACGACGTGAAAGAAAACTGCCACGTGTTACGAAGAATGCACCATAAACATAACATGTTTTTGCAAAACAGCCAACACGCGGTCCTTATGTGACACTGCTGCGATGGCGCTGCTATCGGCAGGGCGCATGTGCAGACGCTTTATTTCACGCGAATCTCGTTTCTGCGGACGCACAGTGCACACACCTCGTGTGAATGCGTTTGTAAACAGCGCTTTGGCCTATAGTTACTGGCAGGATGAGAACGGCAGAGAAGTGTCTGAATACTGCTGCCTTCAGCGCGCACTCGCTACCTTCGATAACGCTTTGGCGTCGCGTGCGTCTCGAGCTTGCACGCAGAGCTAAAGCACGGTGAGAGGTAACCGGCACATGTGGGAGGTCGTGTGTTGGAAGGAGACGCCCTGCCGTTCTCTCCCTGCCAATAACCATAGTCATAGCCTCCTGTATACTGAGAAAGCCTGGCAGATCGCCACGAGAAGAGGCCGCCGAAATAGAAAAGGTGGAATGGCAAACAGCGGATTAGAGGAGAGCCACGTGACTGGCGCCCCGCTGTGTCGAGACGCCGAAACACACTTATCCCGAGCGAACAAGTATGTTTCTAGTCCTTGCCGCTGCAAAAGCTGTGCGTTGAGTTGTCCAGGTTCCCCGAGAAATGGCTCTTTAATGCTGTGTGCTACCAGATCATCGAGCTCCAAATCTGCGACCGGGCACTCTATGGCTCCGTCGTCAAACTGCCAGGTTTTGTGAGTATAGATGAGGCTTTGCCATAGTTCAATCAGAAGGTGGATTCAAAGCGTGCCATTGTGCACTAGATTGAAATTTCCCTAGTCTGTCATGCATCAAATATATGCGATTTCCTCAAACGACAACAATTAGGTGTGGGCTCCTGTAAAGATAATTTCAGTGGATATAATTGGAAAACCCAATGAACATCAAATCATCAATAAGAGTTCTTAGAACATATATTATGACAATTTGCAGCTTTTGTTTAGGGAATAGTCTTTTAAATATCCGCAGTTTAGTGCGAATGTGCCCTAGTTTAATTAGGCTATGCAATTTTTGCGGAGGTTCGCGTACTTCGCGATCTAAATTCCTTACCCAATTCTGGAACATGTACTTCTGACGAGTTAGACATTCCACAACCGAGGAAATTGCAGCCTCTTAAGAACACAGTATGCGTCACTCCGGGAGCTAGGTCATTGATGGTCGTAATTCCGCTGCTATCGAACAGCGTGCTCTCTGTCAGCCTGCTGATTCTGCACTTGTCCGCTTCTACTGAGCAGTTGAGCCAAGTGGAGTTGTCCAAGGAGACCTGCAGAAATAGAATGGAATTTCATGCACGCTGTGTTGACAGGATCAATTGAGGTTTTCGATAATGATTTGAATAAAAATAATACAATTTATTGCACATTGAAAGATGCTGAATCAGTTACAGACCCATAGAAGCATAAGCATGCTTGTGCGCGGAGCCTGACAGACAACGGAGGTACTGGGTAGTTATACAATCTCAACAAAAGGGAAATGAAAAAAAAAGAAATAAATAAACTCGGAGGAAGAAAACACAGAACAACCAAGACAACTCGAAATAAAAATTAAGGAATCATAGTTTATACACCAGGATCGAAGGCCTTCTTCTTGCCTGCTCTAAGCTACTATACTTGTACGAGTTCAGCAGGGAAAATAATAAGGAGGCAGGTAATAATACCGCAGTCTTTTCACAATTTGTAAAAACATTCGGTAAAATAAACCTTTCTTTCTTACTTGCGTGTCTTGCTTGTCTAGCGGCGGGTTGTATATGCTGTTGAAATATGTTTTACTCGTGCTGCATACATATTCATGTTTAAAAATTGGATATACTTGTAGATTCGGCATTTCTAAACTGATTTTCACCTCAATGCTTGTTTATTATGTTTCCTTTGCATGATCTAATACATTAATGATCCATGTTTCACGATAATTAGAGCAAGAACCATAAATAATTATTTTGTGCTAAAGGAAGAAATGTCCCTGCGCGTTCACCTTGAATTTAAGAGGCACATCAGTCGTGGATCGTGTGCCTTAGATATAGACATACACAGAGATGAAGGGGTCTGGCTAGGTAATCAATGTGTGAATTTCAGGACAAATCTTCATAAAAAAAACACCCAGATAGTTTGTCGATTATACATACTTTAGTGGTAGGCATTTACTGTTTTTACAATTTGATGTACGTAGGAATTATAGCACGGTAAGTCTTATTATCTGGTGGGGACATTGGAAGCAATTTATTTTCGTTTTATTGATGATACAAATAAGATGGTTGTTTTAAAACATGCCATTCGTCACCATATATTAATACGGAATGATGATACAGCGTCGAATCTGTAATTTTCAGCCAAAACCAAGGTTGTTTCCTCGGTGTAGGTTTAACTAGCTAAAAATTTGATAAACGGACATCAGAACCAGGAGGCCTGCAATTTAGATATAACTAACCCGTTGTTAATTGAATCAAATGCTTTTTAGTTCAAACATTTTTTTAAAACAAAATTGTTTCTTTAAATATTGTCTTGAATGCCATCGGAAGAATCTCCAAGTACTGTAATTGTCCCTCTCTCCTGACAAAACCCGTACTAAAAAGGACAGTAAACAAATATATATTTTTTCACTACATGAGGTTATTGACACGAACAACCTTTTCATGATCATCTATATCACCGACAGAATAGAAAGTAGTTTGCCATTCAACATATTTTTGTTTACTTCCTTCATTTTTAAAATGGACCTCACAACATATATTTTAGGCCGCTGGGAATAATTCTATTAGCGAGAGGTTAATTCGTTCTTTTTAGTGCCATATATTGTTGTATCAATACCTTACAACCAATTACCTTGTGCACAACATTCCGGGTTCTTTTATGTTTATTTTATGTCTGTGCAAACGAGTGACATAGTTACTTTTTAGGCCTCTTATTTTTGCCTGTATTTCATTTATTTATTTATTTATTTATTTACCCTAAATGCACTCACGGGTAACCAACCATATGCTGTAAGCTTCTACTCACTTTTTACTCACCTATCTCAGAGATTAGGTTAGAATATATGCAACAATATGCGCGCTGCATGACATAGCTTCATAGTGATAAAAACCCGAGGCTCAGGAACACAGAAGGGGTGGAACACATCACAACGTCGTGTTGAGACGTTGTGTTGTGTTCGTCCCCTTCCGTGTTCCTGAGTCTCAGTTTTTTAGTACCATGAATCACCTCCACCTCGTTTTTTTTAAAGTATTGATGACATAGCTTCATTATTTCAGTGGTAATTCATGCGTTCTTTTGTTATGGTGGATACAACTTAACTTTCGTCTTGCAGTTGTTATAAACACTTTCACATTTTTCAGCCATCTATTGACAGCCGTATGATTTATTGATCTTACAACACTCCAGCCATATGCGCTAACTAATTTACCAACTTTTTAACTAGAATTATATTGATATTTTTGTTCCTCATGTAAGGAATATCCAAAAAAACGAGATACAAAACAGTTATCTGCTACATTTTGCTTAAATACAGCTCATACTATCCTAAGTTATTTTTACTTTCCAGCAATATAATCGACCCAACTGCTTGTAATTCGACTTTCTAGGCACTTTTAAATTTCAAAGCTGCATATCACAGTTTTGAGCCCAGAAGAAGACAACTCCGCTGCCTGATCGCAAAGCCGGAAGATTTGCAATGAGCAATGATGGTATATTAGCACCGCAAATAGCAAATTCTATCGCTCCTGGGTTCACAGAAGAGTAAAACTACTCGAGTAAATCTGTTCACGTCTTATTCTTATTTGTCTTCTTTTTTTTTTAAATTTTAGTATATATTTTATATGTAGCAATATGTACATGTTTTGCTTGATGACATACGTTATTTTGAGCTTCCGAGCTCATCTCCAAGAGATTAGATACAGCAGCCTGAGTGCGTTTTACGATTCTAACGTTAGTTTAGGTGAGCAGATTTTTAAGACGGCATATTTGAGACCTAATTCGAATATCTTAGTCGTTTATAAACCACAAAAACGGTTTTTTATACACTCTTAAAAATATGAAATAAAAATGGCGTTCTTAATGCTCACTTGGAGATGCTTTTGCTTATTTTATTTTTAAATTGATTTCGTTTTTTATTTAAAACTGACGAATGAAACGCGTTTTACTTTTTTTAGTTTAAGCAATATTCGAGTGTCTACACAAAAGTGACACAAATTATTTTAAAGAGAGTGGGCTCCTTGTAGTAGAAGCTTTCCTCGCTAGGCGCATTTTCTACGAACCCATCTGCATTAGCTGTCGGTGTTCCTGTGAGACGCTGCGTTCGGCGCTCGTAAACTATTTTTATGGAGATTCCTTTAAAGTGTTTATCAATTTGGTGGTGAGGAATCTATACAACCAACATGTGTCCTTGAAATATTGTTTCCTGTTGAAGAAAAATCCGGCGGGAACGTTTGCTATGGTATAGACGGCTTACAATGAAGTTACTCTGAGCAAAACACAAATTTAGGAATGAATTCTAGTTTAAAACACGAACAACTGTCGACTGACGATCAACATCCGTTCAGGTGTCCCTCGACCAGCCAAACTAAAAAGGCTGCGGCAAGAATTCGTAAAGCAATCTTCGATAACCATTGTCGAGTCAGTGATGAAATTGTGGAATTGACTAGAGTTTCGGGAAGTTACTGTCAGTGAATTTTGTCGTATGATTTGCAAAACCAAATTGTTGAAGAAAACTTCGTACGTCTTCTGCTCCCGCGTGCACTAAAAAAACCAATCGCTTGACAAAGATCCGTGTGTTACAAATAAATTGAAGGACGACCCTGATTTTTTTATTGTCATAGCCGTATATGAGTTTTGGTGCTACCGCTGCGACCCCGAAACGAAACAGCTAACCGGCATATGGAAAACTAACACTTCCCCCCAACCTAAGAAATCACGGCCAGGGATATTGAACAGTAAAACAATTAATGAGTGTGTCTTTGACGTGAGAGGAATATTGTGCATTCGCATTCGTTCCTCCGAACCAAACGGGTCAAAAGTTTTTTTTTTCTTTTTTCCTTTTATCTGGAGGTATTGAGAAAGTTGTCACGATTTGCGGAAGAAACCTCACGAGTTGTGGCAAACAGGAGATCGCTTCTTCCACCATTACAACTCACCGGGGCACACCGCGCTGAGTGTTCAGAGATTTTTTTACCAGAATCATGAGCCGTGTACCCCGCCCACCGTTCTCACCCGACCTCACCTCGTTAATATTTTTGCTTATTTATCCTGATGAAAAATGTCGTCAAAGGAAAAGGTGTGCCGGTTTGGAGAAGGTAAAAAAGAGGCGTCGGATGTACTAAAAATCTTTAATTTCAACGAGTTTAAAAGTCATTTTGAGCATTAAATAAAACGTATCAACAATTAATTGTATCAGGCGGAGTGAGGTTTGAATGTAAATGCCATTTTATCGTGTCAAAATTAATACGCGATTTGTTAAAAAAAAATGTTTTTTTGTGATCTCCCCTCGTAAAATCCTTATGTGCTGTAAGTTCACTGTGGTTTTGGAAACAGAACCATGAAGCCGAAACCGGAGCTTCTGAATGAGTGCGTTTTATATGTTTACCTTGCGAGTGAACACGGTGGTCTACCATGTGCTATACATATCCAATTCCGCGCGAAATGAAAAGTAAATATGTAAAGTCTATCACGCTTCCTCCCAAATGCATGAACAGTTTTCACCTTATAGTCACCGCGAACCTACAAAGTTTGTTAGTGATCAATGTATACATGAACAGGCTCCTTCGTGCATGACTTGTGACTTTCTACTTTGAAAGCGATAGGCAGAAATAATGAAATTCATTCATTCATTAATTCATTTGTTTATTTTTTGTGCTCATGAACAGCTTGAAGCCTTGATAATGATGCACAATTAACATACAGCAAAAAGAAGAATAATTCTACAAATTGACAATAGAGAACTTGAACGCAACAAAAGATGGTCATAGATTTGTAAGAGAAAACTTGAACGCTGCAAATGATGGGTTAAAAATGTCAATGCAAGAATCATTGAAAGTATTATACAAGGTCTGAATACGCGTCATGGGGCAGGTTCGGAAGAATTCATTAGCATGAAATGGAAGAGAAATTCGCAAAAATCTTCTTGGAACATGAATATTTATCGATGAAGTTAGGCAAGAGCAATCAATGACTCCGTGAAGGCATTTGAACAAAAATATGAGATCTCTGTCGCGTCGTCTGGCACTCAAAGTAGAACTATTGTATCGCTCTAAAAGTCTTCTATATTCAAAGTAAACAGTGCAACCAACATAGCGGTCGTAAAAAATTGAAAAAATCGTTTCTGGACATTTTAGATCGACTCTTGGTGCGTATGTTCATGGCTTGTATATAAAAGTCCTTAATATCATTACACAACTGTGTATACTGCGCGGCACGTCAAAAGCAAATATTAAAGGCCGATTTATTTATGTTTTTCTATTTGATTTAAAGGGATACCATAAAAATGTGAAAATGGTAATTTGGGGCACTAAATTAGGCGGTAAATATTTTTGGAGGAAATCGCAAAAAAAAAACTCGAATGTCGTGTTCGGAGGAACAAAGTTGCGCAGTATACTTTATTATGTTAGGTAAAATTTGTAATATTGAGCATATAGCTTTTTAAGGAAAACGAATAAACATGAGAATATTATTATCACATGTCCTTCGTGTTGACATCTTAGAAAGAAAGAAGGGTATGATGATGCGATACAATAAAAGAGAATCGATCTTGCGTGAAGACTTTTATACTTTTGGGTGCTATTATAACAGTGCCTGATAATTATAACATGCATTTTGAAGCCAGGAGAGTAGGGAAATTAGTTATCGAAGTACAAACACTAAATAATAAAATGTCCTATTTACCACAGCGTCCTTAAACGTACCTGGATGTAGATCATTTCTGTGTCCTTGAAATTCCAAGTAAATACAGATGTTTGTGCGTTACTTCCGATGAACTCAATAGAGGGTGAAGCTGGAACTGGAATGAACAAGTCTTTAATAAAAAAGGCTGGCATGCATTTTTAAAAGTTTATTTTCGACACCGAAGAAACTATTATTACTCTCAGCAAAGGTGGAATCTGGTCATATTTTTATATTTGTGTGGGTGGGTGGGGTGGGGGTTACCAAGTGCTTTATCATACGAAGGTAACAAATGCTTTCAAGGACTTCAAGTTGTCAATTAGTTTTCTATGTCGCATATTTATTGCGTTGATGCAAAGTCCCATCAATACATAATAAAGCTATTATTGCTTCGTGACGTCGTAAGATTATTTCTGGAACAGGCTCCCCAAACAAGAACCTGAAGACGCCTCGAATGTTTTAGGGAGTAAAAAAAAAACTGGTTTAAAGGTTTTTATGATTCCAACCAAGAAGTGTGGGCGATTCCAATGCAAATACGCACTCCTACCTTTGTGGGACGTGTTTTTAATACATTACCGAACCACTTCACAGAAAACGCGGGCACAGAAAAGTCGTGGCGAAATTCTGGCTGTATCTTGAGGTGAGTACTGGTTACGTGGTTTCAACAAAAGGTATTCTATTATGGTAATGAAGATAGTGCTCTTTTTGTTTCGTATAAATTAGCGAGTGCTCCAAACCTGTTCTATTGGTCGTAACATAGTGGTTTTGAGACTAATGTTCTTCAGTCTTTGTATTTTGCACGATTAAAATCAAGCCCTGTATTTGTATATTATAACACTTTTTTTATATTTTTACTGTTGTCCTAATGCATATAGCTATATCTTTTAGAACCTATTTTTGTAGCAATATTTAAGTGTTTTTTGCCCGGTAGCTCAGTATTTGTGTTCCCAAATACTTGTTCTCATTATTTTTAGCCAAACCTAACCTCAACACATATAGTTACGGATCCAGGTTGTCGAAATTCTAGAAGATATTTAAATATTCCGAGAAACACTTACTTTAAAAAAGCAAACACATCAAAATACGCTCTTACTCTTTGGATGAACTATTTCTAATAATCGGACGTTTATATCTAAGTGTATGGCAGTTGATAATCCAAATAATTGTGCTTAATAATTCCAGACCGACAAGAATAGTTGTTGCTTGTTTGTAGTATGATCAATTATATCATTAGTTATATTCCAACAATATTGTCACGGGTGGTGACCAATAAACAATAATAAACAGAAAGAAATAAACGTTTAATGTGGCGAACTTGTGCCAAAAATAAAAGGGTACAAAAGATAATAACGGAGCGTCGCGGGCGTCGAAGTCGGCGTAGCAGCAGAGTCGAACGCTGGGCGAAAACTGGCTCCGGCTTGCCCGCGGAGCCGCTTTTGTACACACGTTGGCTTCTGGAGCATTCGACGTAGAAGGTTCGACGCGTAGAACATTCTGACCTCGAATCAGCTAGACGGTTCTCGATTTCACCAGAACATCACATTACAGTGTTAACAAAAATGCATAGCCGCCCTTCGCGTGGGAGGTAAGCGCGATAACCGTTAGGCTACGGCCGCGCTGCCTACTTGGCGCGCGGCATTATTCCCCCCTTAAAAAGTGCATCGCCCCGATGCATCCCAAAACAAAACGAAGCACATAAAAAGAACGGCAAACTAAAGAGTCACTTGAAACACATAAGATCCACAGTCCTATCGAGCGTAGTACGGCTTCAAGCGCACGACGTGGACGACTTCAGGTCGTGGTGGGCGCCGTGATGATGTTCTTGTTCCGTCGGGCATCACCTCGTAGTTCAGCTCGCCGAGGCGACGAAGTACCTTGTATGGTCCAAAGTACCGTTTCAGCAGTTTCTCACTGAGGCCGCGGCGACGGATGGGCGTCCACACCCACACCCTGTCTCCGGGCTGGAAGTGAACGTCCCTGCGACGAAGGTTGTAGCGGCCCGCGTCGACGCGTTGCTGGTCTTGAATCATGAGTCGCGCGAGCTGGCGGACTTCTTCGGCGCGTTGAGCAACCGCCTGGGCGTCGTCGCTCTCATTGTCAGATGGCTCATGGGGCAGCATTGCGTCCAGCGTGGTCGTTACCTTCCGACCATGTACCAGCTGGAAAGGGGTGAATCCGGTGGTCTCTTGAACCGCCGTATTGTAGGCAAACGTGACGTAGGGCAACACCTCGTCCCACGTCTTGTGCTCTACGTCGACGTACATAGAGATCATATCGGCGATTGTCTTGTTGAGTCGCTCGGTCAGCCCGTTGGTCTGCGGGTGGTATGCAGTGGTTCGACGATGGCCGGTGCCACTGAGACGAAGGATCTCTTGCGTCAGCTGGGCCATGAACGAAGATCCGCGATCTGTAATCAGAACTTCTGGCGCGCCGTGCCGGAGGACGATGGACTCAATGAAAAACTTAGCAACTTCCACAGCAGTCCCCGAAGGAAGAGCTTTCGTTTCGGCGTACCGCGTGAGATAATCTGTGGCGACGATGATCCAGCGGTTCCCCGACGTCGAAGGCGGAAAAGGACCAAGTAGATCCATTCCGATCTGCTGGAAGGGTGTAGTTGGAGGAGAAATGGGCTGCAGAAGTCCGGCCGGCCTCGTCGGCGGTTTCTTGCGTCGCTGGCACTCGTGGCATGATCGTGTGTATAGGTGGACGGTCTTGGGGAGCTTCGGCCAGTAATACTTTTCACGAATACGGGCCAGTGTCCGGCTGTAACCAAGGTGTCCGGATGTCGGGTCGTCGTGGCAGGCTTGGAAGATCTCCTCTCGAAGGCAACTTGGGATTACCAGCAACCACGGTGTGTTGTTGTCGCCGAAGTTCTCTTTGTAGAGTACACCTTGTCGGATGGCGAAGGTCGGCAGTACTCGTGAGAAGACACGTGGCACGGTACTCCTGGCCCCTTCCAGGTGCTCGATTAATGCGCGCAGCTCAGGATCGTCCCGTTGACGTCGTGCCATATCGTCGGTGTTCACCGCTCCTAGGAAGCACTCGTCGTCATTGTCGTCGCTGCAGCCGGAAGGGGTTTCGACGGGTGCTCTGGACAGGCAGTCGGCGTCGCTGTGCTTGCGGCCTGACTTATAGACCACTGTCATGTTGAACTATTGTAGTCGAAGACTCCATCGAGCGAGGCGTCCTGACGGGTCCGTCAGGTTCGCAAGCCAGCAGAGCGAGTGGTGGTCCGTGACTACACGAAACGGGCTCCCGTACAAGTACGGACGAAACTTCGTTATTGCCCAGACGACCGCAAGGCATTCTTTCTCAGTCGTGGAGTAATTTTTCTCCGCCTTGGACAATGTCCGACTTGCGTAGGCGATGACTCGCTCGATGCCTTCTTGCACTTGGACTAGTACTGCGCCCAGTCCCGCGTTACTTGCGTCCGTGTGAATTTCTGTTTCCGCATCCTGGTCGAAATGTCCAAGCACAGGAGGAGTCTGGAGTCGTCGTTTCAGTTCGTCGAATGCCTGCTGTTGCTCCTCGGCCCATTCGAACTTCTCGGCGTCCTTCGTGAGATTCGTAAGTGGTGCGGAAATCCTTGCGAAATTCCGAACGAAGCGTCGATAATAGGCACAAAGTCCAAGGAATCTTCGCACGGCCTTCTTATCTGTCGGCGCTGGAAATGCCGCGACGGCGCGAGTCTTCTCGGGGTCTGGGCGGACGCCTTCGTTACTAACCACGTGGCCAAGGAACTTCAGTTCGTCATAGGCGAACCGGCACTTTGACGGCTTGAGTGTGAGTCCGGCGGTCTGAATGGCTTGAAGAACAGCTCGGAGTCGTCTCAAGTGCTCGTTGAAGTCAGCTGAAAATACTACGACGTCGTCAAGGTAGACGAGACAACTCTGCCACTTCAGCCCTGCCAGTACGGTGTGCATGACACGCTGGAAAGTTGCTGGCGCCGTGCATAGTCCGAAGGGCATCACCTTAAACTCGTACAGTCCATCCGGCGTGACGAAGGCTGTCTTCTCTCGGTCCCGTTCGTCGACCTCAATTTGCCAGTAGCCGCTCTTCAGGTCCATCGATGAAAAGTATCGAGAGTGGCGCAGCCGGTCTAGAGTGTCGTCGATGCGGGGGAGTGGGTAGACGTCTTTCTTCGTAACCGTGTTGAGCTGCCGGTAGTCCACGCAGAACCGAAGAGTTCCGTCCTTTTTCTTAACCAGCACGACTGGAGAGGCCCATGGACTGCTTGAAGGTTGAATTATGTCGTCATTCAGCATCTCTTGAACTTGCTGATAAATCACCTCCCTTTCCTTAGCGGAGACTCTGTACGGCGATCGATGCACAGGGCGCGTGTCGTCCTCGGTAACGATGCGGTGCTTGGCAACCGCGGTCTGGCGCACCTTCGACGACGTCGCAAAGCAATCGCGGTATTCGGCGAGGAGGTTAACCAGCTGACGCCGTTTATGGTCCGGAAGCTTAGGGTCAATGTCGAGCTGCGCTGGCGACGTACTGTCTTGCTGGGGCGGCGAGGATTCGTCAGTAATCGCGGTGATTTCGGCGGGGTTTCGGAGTTTCTCGACGTGGCCCACGGCTGCACCTTTCGTGAGGTGTTGCGTTTCGTTTCGGAAGTTCGTCACGAGGGCCACAGTCTGCCCATCCTGAAGTTCAGCTACTCCCCTTGCGACGCCTATGCCTCTTCCTAGGAGCAATTGGAGGCTTCCCTCGAGAAGAACTTCGCCACAGGAAGCTTAATCGATCCCGACAAGTACGAAAACACTCGACCGTGGTGGTAGGTTTACGTGATTTGCGAGGACTCGGACCGTGGGTGACGTCGCTTGGGGTTCCTCTGCTGGTGGAGCAGGTTTTCGTAGCGTCACCCGGTTTGTTCCGAGGTCGATGACGGCGCCATACTCGCAGAGAAAGTCCATTCCGAGGATAACGTCCCTCGAACAGTCTTGCAGAACGACGAACTTGACAGGGCACGTTTCACCGTGGATCTCGACGCGAGCAGTGCATCTCCCGACTGGTGTGATGAGATGTCCTCCGGCGGTTCGTATTTGGGGTCCTTCCCACGGCGTCATGACTTTTCGAAGGCGGCGGGAGAGCCTCCCACTCAAGACTGAGTAGTCTGCTCCGGTGTCCACGAGTGCCGATGCGTCGTGGCCGTCGATGACGACGTTTAGGTTGTTGGACACCGTTGCAGGCGCGTCGTAGCGATGCGTGGCGTCGGGAGAGTGGGAGCGCTCCGGCGTTCTTGGAGGCTCTTTACTCGGGTCGTCTTCGGCAACGGCACCTCCAGGCGTTGCCGCACTTAGTTTTCCCGACGAGATAGGGGGGACAGGCTGTCACGGCGCGACCGACGGAAAGGCAACGCGGAACGTTGGGGGGATGGAGAACGGGAACCTCGTGGTGCGGTGGGCGCTGGTGACGGAGGGCGACGGAGGTATTCCTCGATGTCCCTTGGTCGTTCTCCAAAACGAGGTCGACGGTCGTTTGGAGCGAATCCTCGCAGGCCGAGCTGGTGGTAGGGGCACCTCCGGTAAACGTGGTCAGCCTCCCCGCAGTGGAAGCACACCGGGCGTCCGTCATCCGTGCGCCACACGTCGGTCTTTCGAAGTCCACGCTGCTCTTGGCGCGGCGCGTACTGCGGCGAAGAGACTTCTCGTTGGGGTGCAGATGGGTACTGCCGAGCAATAGGAGGCTGCGGACGACGAACAACGGCAGCATAGGTCACAGCTGGTGGTTCCGGTGCGGCGTCGGCGAGAACGTCTGGCTGGAGCGCTTGCTGGACCTCTTCTCGAACAATCTCGGCGATCGAGAGTGAAGCTGGACGTTCGGCGGCAGGTATCAGCTTCTTCAGTTCTTCACGGACGATGTCCCGGACTAATTCTCGGATCCCCGGAATATTGGGGCTGGGGGCGCAGCTTGACGGCGTGGGTGCAGCGACGGCAGGGGCTCGATGGAAGTGAGCGGCTCGTGCTTGCAGGGCCCGTTCAATGTTGGTCGCCTTTGTTACAAACGTCTCGACGGTGGTCGGCGGGTTGCGGACGAGGCCTCCGAAGATGTCATCTCGTACGCCTCGCATCAGGATCCGCAACTTCTTTTCGTCGGTGGCTTCAGGGTCGGCGCGAGTGACCAGGCGCAGGACATCCTCGACGAAACTGGTGATGGTCTCGTTTGCGCCCTGGGTTCTCATTCGAAGAAGGTCCTCGGCCCTCTCCCGTCGATACTGGTTAGTGAAAGTTCGCCTCAACTCATTCTTGCAGGCGGTCCACGAGATCAATGATGTCTCCCGATTCTCGAACCAGTGCCTGGCCGTTCCTTCGAGCGCGAAGTAAAGGTTCTGCAGGCGCTGGTCCTCCGTCCATCGGTTGTGCTGGGCCACCCGCTCGTACTGTTGAAGCCAGTCCTCGACGTCTTCGTGGGTGTCCCCCTGGAATGGCGTCGGAGTCCGGGGTGCGACTGGCAGGTAGATGAAGGCAGGAGCGGCCGGGGTCTGTGACTGCTGGCCGTCCATCGTCGGCTTCGTTGGCTGCTTGGTCCTGGGTGGCAGAAGTCCGTATTCCGGGTGTAGACCTTGGGTGCGGCGACTGGTCCGAGTTTCAGGTTCCGCGTCAGGTGGTCTTCTCACCGGGCTCGGAATCGGGCTTGCTCTGCGGGCCCTGGCAGGGGAACGCTGCACGGGCATGCGCTACCCCGCACCCCCACCAAAATGTCACGGGTGGTGACCAATAAACAATAATAAACAGAAAGAAATAAACGTTTAATGTGGCGAACTTTTGCCAAAAATAAAAGGGTACAAAAAATAATAACGGAGCGTCGCGGGCGTCGAAGTCGGCGTAGCAGCAGAGTCGAACGCTGGGCGAAAACTGGTTCCGGCTTGCCCGCGGAGCCGCTTTTGTACACACGTTGGCTTCTGGAGCATTCGACGTAGAAGGTTCGACGCGTAGAACATTCTGACCTCGAATCAGCTAGACGGTTCTCGATTTCACCAGAACAAAAATGCATAGCCGCGGCCAGGAATCGAACCCTGGCCCTTCGCGTGGGAGGTAAGCGCGATAACCGTTAGGCTACGGCCGCGCTGCCTACTTGGCGCGCGGCAATATCACTAATTAATCATGGACGTTTCATAAAAGTAAAAAAAAAACAAAAAACACTGACTTGTTTGTAAAAGAACTTGTTGTTGGGCTAGTTGGTGTTGACTGAATTGAACCATGGTTAAAAGCGCTAAAAAAGACGTACACAAGAAAGAAGACAAACACGGGCGCTACTCACAACTGTATTGGGAAAGGAAGATGGAAGTACATATATATATATATATATATATATATATATCTGATACACTTATCGTCACCCAGGCTACTCATGCGCGAGATACAAGAGCATAAAACCGTTTACATGTATTTATCGAAAAAACGAATCTCAGCGTTATACAATGCTATTGACGTGTCGCTGACGCACTGGGGTCCCCTCTTCTTGATAAAATATGCCTCTTGCAGTTCGCGTGCCCTTTGAATTCTGCTTCTACCGAGAATCTTGGTATCACCGAAGCGTGGCTCGCATTTGCAGACCCTACAGTGCGCGGGCAAATGTGCCCCGTCATTTGTCTTTAAATTTTGCGCGTGCTCTCTTAAACGGTCATTCGTGCATCTTCCCGTTTGTCCAACGTAAGATTTTCCACACGTTAGGGGGATTTCATACACGACCCCCGTGACGCATTCGATGTACGGCCTGGCGTGCTTCGTGCCACATCCTCGATCGTTCTTGATTTCTTTAGTAATTCGAGGGCAAAGTTGTCCGAGTTTCTTTGGCGCTGAAAACACGAGAGGTACTCCGTACCTGTTCGCAACCTTCTTGAGGTTGTGCGCCATTTTGTGTACATATGGTACAACCTCTGCCCTCATATTGCTCAGTGCCGACTGCGTCACTTTCCTGGTTGTGTGGCCTTTCACTTTCTGTAGGGTGACCTCTGCCACACTCGTCAAGACCGTTTGAGGGAAGCCCGCTGACAATAGTCTAGTCAATTGGTTGTGGAAGCTGGCCTGCATGCGGTGAGCACACGACTTCTTGATAACTGACTGCAAGAGGCATATTTTATCAAGAAGAGGGGACCCCAGTGCGTCAGCGACACGTCAATAGCATTGTATAACGCTGAGATTCGTTTTTTCGATAAATACATGTAAACGGTTTTATGCTCTTGTATCTCGCGCATGAGTAGCCTGGGTGACGATAAGTGTATCAGATATATATATATGTATATATATATGTACTTCCATCTTCCTTTCCCAATACAGTTGTGAGTAGCGCCCGTGTTTGTCTTCTTTCTTGTGTACGTCTTTTTTAGCGCTTTTAACCATGGTTCAATACTGACTTGTTTATACATTTTATGTTTTAATAAATATATTGCAGTTTTTGACAGTAAAGCGGCATTTACCTGGTGATGATGTTGCAGCGCGAATACGACCTGGTGAACCGCAGCCATTGGAAGTGCATCCTCTAGCGAACACTGTATAGACTGTATTCGGCTCTAAGTTACTTAGTATGACGATTCCCGTAACGTAAGGTTGTCTCTCGGTGAGCTTAGGTTTAGTTTCGCTCAGGCAGTCACTGCCAGCGTCGCAATTCTTCCAGGTAGAGTTGTCTCGGGAAATCTGTAGGTAGAAAGTACACAAACTCAATATTTTGCAATTCCGTTATCACTGTTGGTTTTTCGGTTACTCGGTTGGTAAATCAATATACGATTCATTTTAATCCTGTGAATCAATTACCTTTTCAAAATACTCGATTTCAATCACGTTTACTTTTATATTGTTTAGGAAATTTATGATCTCGAGAAATGCGTGAATACCCTGGGAAACTAAAGGCAGCTGATAAATCCAGTTTGCTCTACTGACGTCTAACCCCTGGTTAGCTCAGTTGGTGGAGCGCTCCACTTGTAATGGAGAGGTCCCGGGTTCGATACCCGGACCAGGCGGATTTTTTCGGTCGCTCACCGCTCACCTAGCTGTGTTTGGAGATTTATGTTTGACTTTGTCCCTCTTGTTCCCCTTCGCCAGGGATTATTTTCGTCATTCTTGTCCAGCTCGCTTGCACCTTTGCATTTAATTGCATTATCATTACAACCTTAAATTGCAAGCTTCACCCTTGTTGGTGGAAGACTGGTGGCAGCTGATAAAACCCGTTTGCTCTACTGACGTCTAACCCCTGGTTAGCTCAGTTGGTAGAGCGCTCCATTTGTAATGGAGAGGTCCCGGGTTCGATACCCGGACCAGGCGGATTTTTTCGGTCGCTCACCAGTCACGTAGCTGTGTTTGGAGATTTATGTTTGTCTTTGTCCCTCTTGTTCCCCTTCCCCAGGGATTATTTTCGTCATTCTTGTCCATCTCGCTTGCACCTTTACATTTAATTGCATTATCATTACAACCTTAAATTGCAAGGTTCACCCTTGTTGGTGGAAGACTGGTGGCAGCTGATAAAACCCGTTTGCTCTACTGACGTCCAACCCCTGGTTAGCTCAGTTGGTAGAGCGCTCCATCTGTAATGGAGAGGTCCCGGGTTCGATACCGGACCAGGCGGATTTTTTCGGTCGCTCACCAGTCACCTAGCTGTGTTTGGAGATTTATGTTTGTCTTTGTACCTCTTGTTCCCCTTCTCCAGGGATTATTTTCGTCATTCTTGTCCAGCTCGCTTGCACCTTTGCATTTAATTGCATTATCATTACAAACTAAAGGAGTTGTGGGTTTCTTAAAGAACAAAACTGTATAGCATTTTCTTTTTCATGGGTGTATGCATATTCGCAAATCAACCTGTTAAGAGTTGAGCAAGATAATTTTTACCACAGGTACAGGCTAGGTGGTCGACTGCTCCTTCGCTCTGGTCAGGCTTTCTTATGTAGAATATATGTGTCGAACTTACCAAATCAAAATAAAAAAAAAAATCAAACCAGTGATGGTCATAGAACCAAATTATAGCACGTCGTGTCGAACCAGCAATTTTATATTTCAGATTCAAACCAGGTGATCGAAAACTGGTTGATAGGAGTTTTATTCCATCCTGGGGACAGGTGGAAAACAGAGTAGGAAATAGGAATAGGTGCTGTAGTAAAACATTAAAGTAAGATGGTCAGTTCAACATGCTATATATATAAACCAGAAAGGACAGATAAAAATATGAAGATTTCCATACCACCCCGATATTCAAAGAGATTTAGCTTCGGACAAAGGTCCAGAGCTAGTTCTACGAACAATGCTACTGAGAGCTTTACGAGGCGCAGATAATGAAAGCTTATTTAGACGGATGTTTCAGTGCGACATCTGTTTCATTGTCAGACGAAGAACTGATATACCTCCGCCGTCATGCTTGCTATGCGCGGCGGTTCCCTAGCAGTAGGGAACGTTTCAAAGCATAAAATGCTTTTTAACGCTACTCCCCAATCTAGAAATATTGTCCATCCATCCGTCCGGAAATGGTCTAAATTTAGCGGGGAAAGTGGCGTCACGTGATGTCACCTGATGTCACCTAACGTCATGTGACCTATAATCCTTGGAGAAATTGACGGCACGTGACCTGTATGTCAACTTAGTTTCCCCGCTAAATTTAGTGAGAAAATTAACGTCTACTGTCCAAAACATATATTCAGATTCCCCGCTAAATTTAGGCCGATATTGACGTATTTTGAGCTCTACACATACATCACATGACAAACCTATTCACTGTAATACATTTTGCGCATTTAGAACCTTGAAGGTAAAGGTCGCTTCCAATTTTTTAACTCCTTTCAAAGAATTGTTGAAATAACTTTTAATAGGTCGTTTTCTTGTTTTCCGTAATATTTTTATATGTCAGTTTTAACTAGTGACTTTATTGAGTGATTTTGTTTTATAAGTTAATTTTTGATTTATCATGTTTCTTTCACTTCTTTCTTAAGTTCATTTCTGTATTTAGTACAGCTCCTTCCACTTCTTTCTTACCTTCCTTATATTTTTCATTAAAACCAAACTCGAGCTTTGAGTATAGCGCTGTCCTTTCTTTAAGTTCTCATCTGCCATATGCAGTTTGCACATTTAGTACGTACCGTAGTCAGTCTCTAAGTTCAGTCACATCTGTGCTGACTGGCATCATAGCAAGTACTGTGGTTAGCAATTGTACAGAACATGCGTTTTACTGCGCTGCTGTTTATCCCGATCATATCACTGATTACCGCTGTTCCTAAGAAGAATCATTTAATTCTGCAACGTGTGCATGAACTACAGAAATCCTGGATTTATTATTTTTTAACCCGGGAGAGTAGAAAAAAAAGGACAAGACAACACGCATCTCCTAACACAGCTGAGGTTTATTTTACTAGAAAAAACCGTAAATTGACAACCAAGACAAATAACCCGAACGGACAGAAATAAGCGACTTATGACAACGTTGACGTCACGCTTACCCGAACCAGGATGGGCTGAGAAAAGCTCACCGGAGAAAAGCTCATCAGACAAAAGCTCACCGCAAAACTGGCAGATGCGAAAAAAGCTCACCCGCACTTGAGCGGATGCAGAAAAAAGGTCACTGAATTTTTTTCTATTTGATCTTAGCTTAGCTGATTGTGCGTCAGACGTGGCAATTTAGCACAATTAGAATTTGCCACTTCATTAAAAATAATTGTCCTCTATTGTGTGATACTCTTGAAGATCGGGCACATTTACTAACTCTTCGGAAATTAGTAATCACCTATTTTCTATAATAATGACGCCGTAAATATAAAATCAGAACATGGGGGACCCGTAAAAAATGCAATATATTGACAGCTTGACAGCGCGCCGTCGGTAGCTCTCTCAGATAACGAGGTTTGTTTTTTTACGAGCTAAAATAAATCTCCGAATATTGTGTGGTGGCTCATAGATAAGTAAGTTTTTGTTGATTTGATCAGTGTCGGCTACGCTGTTTTATTTGTGTTTTTTTTCACTAATAAAACTTAAGTTGCAAGACCAGCTTCGTCTTGTCGTGTTTGTTTTCTTCACTCCGTCGTCGTCGTTTGAGCGGTTTTCATCATGTATAACGTTTACCAACTCGCCCTATCCGCTATCTAACAGAAGAATAGTTCTTATACAGGTCAGTCACGTGTAACGACGGTGAGAGGGGCACAATCACACAAAGACAACGTGTCAAAAAATCAGCACGAACTTCTAAGAAACGTGCATGTCCGTGGAATTAAGATACCTGATAACCTACTCACAGTCATATCCTGCTTCCAAAGGTTAACAAAAGCTTCAAAAAGAATTTCAGGCACCGCGTTGTTGCGCATGCCCATTCGAATTTTCGCCATCTACAGTCTTGCTTTTTTAAGGTTTTAGGAGGACATTATTGAGTTTTTGAACTTTTTCCTGTTTTTTTACTTCATAAAGACTTCAGTTTAGCTTTCGTTGCCGAGAGAATAAACTACACACACACACAAAAAAAAAGACACTGGGCCGGAATATTTAAATGGGGAATATACCCAATAAGCTTAACAAAAATGACGAATTTTAATGATAATAATATGTGTATGTTACGCGGGATTAGGCAGCCTCTATACAAAAAGAAAAAAATCGGTGAGCTTTGCTCCGCATATACGATCAATGGCCGGTGAGCTTTTATCCGCATTCGCCAGTTCTCGAGTGAGCTTTTCTCTGGTGAGATTTTGTCCTGTGAGCTTTTCTCCCGAATTCAATCAGAATATAAGTGTCTAAAGAGGTCACAACACATAAACGAACCAAGTCCAGACTCCACAAATCGGAGATGATAGGTTTCACCGCGATACGTATAAGACCAACTGAGAACACAGTGAACGTGAAAAACCGAATGACCCCTAAGCAGTAAAAAACATTAGGTAATCAACTACTAACATACCCACAAATATATAGTAGCGGGTTGCCCTCTTCTTTTCCTGCGTAGCGTTCATTCGTTTTTTTTTTCTTCACTATGTGCTTTGTTGGTATTGTACTTATCACGTTGAAATCTACCATTTCCTCTATGCGGAATAGTGGTTTAGGAGTTGATGTGTAACCCCTTCAGATATCCTGATTTTTGTACACGTGACGTCAACATAGTCAAAAGTGTCTTATTGTGGTATGTTCAAGTTCTTTGTCTTGGTCGTCTATTTAAAGTTGTGTTCCGTAAAATAAACCTAAGTTGTGTTTGGAGGTTTGTGTAACGTTCAGCAGTTTCTAACGTTCTAAGCAGAGATTGTATTACTTTGAGCGTACCAAAGAGAGAAACTGCGGCGCGCCGTAAAAGATTTGAGTATGAGGAATGAGGCATGCAACAATTGGTGGTTATACCATGAGCATTTTTAACATTTTTTAATACCACCACGAATGACTTTACCTGTAAAAAGTTGAGGGCAGTTCTGTTAAAACGCCACAGGATCTCGATGGTGTGGAGGTTACGTCTAGAATGCTGAAGCTCCGGTACAGAAGGAACTGCAAGGAACGTGGTTGCTGGTCAGAGTACATTTAGCATGTGGTGGAAGCTTCGCTAGCCAAGGGTATTAAAGAAAGAAGAACTTGATGAATCTGCAAGGAATGTATTAGCATGACACTTGGGCAACGCCGCACACGCCCCCGTTTTGCGAAACGCTAACGCTGAGCCCTTCACTTTTCTGTTTGACTCCCTTTCGCTCCCTCTATTTTTTTTGCCTATTTTTGGCTTTGTTACGGGGTCTGTGTTAGCGTTTTCCAAAGGATGCCGCATGTGGCGTTTCTCAAGGGTCATGCTAACGCATTCCCTATGGATCCGCCAATAAAACTTTCTTTAATTTGTTTTTGCCGCCTACTTGGACTAGCGCCAGTACTTAGTTCACACTAAAAGAAATCCCGTGGGTCTACTTTCCCACAGAACACTCAGAGAGCCAATCACCACAGTTTATGGAGGCAGCTCAGCGAATGACGATGCCGAAACATCTGTTTAGACCAAAAAACGTAGTCTGAGTTGTGGCATTAAGCGATGCAAAACGTCACGCTTGCATTACTTAATGTCACAACTCAGACCGCGTTTTTTGGTCTAAACGTATGTTTCGGCATCGTCATTCGCTGAGCTGCCCCCGTAAACTGCGATGATTGGCTCTCCAAGTGTTCTGTGGGAAAGTAGACCCACGGGCTTTTTTTTAGAGTGCACACTCCATTTTGTAGCACAAACCAAAGCATACGCACTCCCCACACCTGCGGTTTCTTACTCGCCTCAGCATCGGCGCGCGCCCTGGCTTCCGCCTCGTGACGTGGCCTCTCTCGCCTTTGTCCTTCACTAGTCTCCTCTTCTCTGCGGAAAGCGGTTTCCTTTGCACTGTTTACAGCACGGACGAACGCCGGCAGCTTTTCGGTGTCATGTGAGTATTAAGGATAGCACATTAAAAGCGGAGAAATTATAGTAATGAATTTATGAGGTATGAAGCATCCAATTAAGTGCATTCTGCCACATGCACACGGTTTGGGACGGATTAAAGCTATTGACATGCGACAACTTCACGCTTTTCGTAAATAAATTGGTTACTTTTTTAACGGAAAATATGAAATACAATTACTGCTTACAACACTCGTAAAAAATTAATATTTTCTCGGGGTGAACAGTTTGGTTCTGATTCTAGTGCTCTAAAACTTAACTAGGGGCATTACTTTTTAAGTTAAGTGAAAAAATATGAGACAGCTCTAGAGTATTTATATTTCACGAATGATTATTTTTTTAGGATACGAGGTGTCACTTTCTTATGAATGTTCGATTACCTGTGTAAACATAAGAGTGGCTATAAAAATTTTAATACACATTACCTCACACTAAAGCTGCTTCGTCTTCTAATCTCGGCATAGATTTAGGCACTTGTTATAACGCGGCATAAGATTTGCGACCAGTCAGCTGTGCTTGGTTTGTGATCTTAATATAAAAGCGCTCCAATCATCACGCAAAATTGTTTACGATTACATAACGTGCAGGTATATTATGCTATGAAAAGCGCCATAAAATCCCCGACTATGCAAGAGGTTTTTCGGAACAAATTTGCGTCGTCTTGTGTTGAAGTCACACAATTTTATAGTTTTGAAATCTCTACAAAAACTACTATGATATCCAAAAAGTTAGCAGTTCAATATTTTATACCTTACCAGATTATAGTTACCATCCAATCGAATGGCTCCGACGGAACGGCAAAATATGTAACAATACCTCTTCAATCACTTTTCGACCCTCCAGCTAAAAATAATGGCTAAATGGTCTTTAGCTTCAGTAGGAGCATAAAAAAATTGTACAACATTTTCCTGGACTTATCCACACAGTTCTCAACTGCATGAAAAACAGTGATTCTTATAAGGCGTACGCCCGATCATGTTCGGATTACGTTACATATCTTCTCCATTTCCAGTTGGAATAATTGTCTGTGGAAACGGTGCGAACAGTGCGAGACGAAAAAATAGATCATAACAATTGCTTGGAATGGAACGCACAAACCAGTATACTGAGGACATATATAATAAATTTCAATTTCAAATGAATAGCTTCGACAAACAAGGAACTTGGGAGTTAATCAAGATTGAGCTGGGGCACTATATGATAGAACAAGTTTTCGCGCTTTTCTCGCAGCAGTTTTCACGGTTTTCCGAATACATTTTCAATATTTACCCATGTGCCTTTATTCATTGGTTTGTACTGGCTATGGTAATACGAAATAACGTGACGTGCTCATATTGTGTTTATAATTATTTTAATTTTGTGAACATGTGCATAAAAAGCACGATTTTAGCGAACTGTGCGGCGGACAATTGAACAAGTATATTTTGTTTTACTTCGTTGATGTAGCTGATTTTGATCCGCATTTTAGAGCGCAGCTCTTAAGGGCCCGCTTCCGGCTTGAGCGGCGTCGGCGTCGCCGTTGGCGTGACCACGAGGTCACGTGACCCCTCCAAGGTCACACGACCCCCCCCCCCCCCCGAGGTCACGCGACCACCCCTCCCCCCCGAGTTCACGTGACCCCTCCGAGATCACGTGGCCCCCTCCCCTGGGGTCACGTGACCCCCCTAAGGCCACGTGACCCCCCTGAAGTCACGTGACCCCCTGAAGTCACGTGACCTCATGAGGTCACGTGATCCCCTAATTTTTGTCACATGACTCCCGAGGTCACGTGACCGCCTGAGGTCACGTGACCCCTTGAGGTCACGTGACACCCCTAAGGTCACGTGACGCCCCTGAGGTCACGTGACCCCCCTGAGGTCACACGACCCCCCCCCTGAGGTAACGTGACTTCAAGGAGTCACCTATCCCTCAGTACGCTTCCATCCTCCTCCTCAAGAGCTGCGCTCTAATCCGGCGTTACAGGGAATTGTTAACGGCTTTCATTTTTTTAGAGCGCAGCTCTTAGGCGCCCGTTTCCGGCTTGAGCGGCGTCGGCGTCGCCGTCGGCGTAACCGCGCGGTGCATTATGGGAAATGTCCCATAATGCACCGCGCGAGCCCCCCCCCCCCCCCCCCGAGGTCACGTGACCCCCCTCCCCCCGAGGTCATATAACCCCCCCCGGAGATTCAAGAATGAGGAGAGGAGGGGGATAAGGAGGTGAGGAGGTGGGGTATACCTTCCCCTCAGTACCCTTCCATCCACCTCCTCAAAAGCTGCACTCTAATTCGGCGTTACAAACGGCTTTCACTTTTTGTTCGGTATTTTTATCCACATTTAAGCGAAGAGCATGCCGATGGACAAACTCACTCAGGCTCCAGGTCCGAGCGTGCTCAAGCGCGAACCGCGCGACGTCGTTCTTTCCCCATCCAAGGCCCATGAGCACAGCACCGACGTAGACAGTGTAAACGGTGTCCGCATATAAATTGCTGACCATGACAGAATTGTTGGTAGTCTCGACCTCGACGCACTTGCTTTCTCTCTCGACGCAGCACCGCACCAAATAAGTGTCAAGCATCTCATGCTCTCTCCTTGACTCGGCCCAGTTCACGTGTAGAGAGAATGGGCCAGTTGCTTCAACAGTTGTGGTCCTTGGTTTAAGCAAGCCTGAAAAAAAATGCGCGGCTAATGTTGCGTACCTTAACATCAGCCTCTACAACTGTTTAAAATTTTAAGACGGGATTAATTGGTTTTTGGCATGCCTAAAGCTCTGCAGTTATCCTTTCAACCAGAGGTCGCCGTAATTAGCAAGAACAAACGATAGCGTGTTTTATATTTTTATATAGCTTCAGTTCTACGGTAGAAGCAACTAGCGCAGACTCATGCGGAGATGTAGCGCGTTAGCCTAGCAATAAGTATCGTTGTTTTTAACTACATATCCGCCACGCTCTCCGGCAGAATAATTGCTCAAAGGTCCTTATTAAGCTGAGTGTAATGTATGTCAAATTTGTTTTTGCTCAATTGTATTTAAAAGTGAGACGCGACTCCGAACGCTTTTGTGTGTCACTTTTGAAAATTATTTATTTCCTTTTGACTAAGATAAGACGCAAAGTTGTTAAACTAAGCAGGTACGTTAAACCTCTACAAACGACAGATGTGAATCAATCTCACTGAGTGAGCACTCTAGAAAAGGCCCGTGCATCTGCTTTCCCGCACAACACTCGGAGAGCCAATCACCGCAACTTACGGAGGCAGCTCAGCGAATGACGATGCCAAAACATAAGTTTGGACCAAATAACGCAGTCTGAGTTGTGACATTAAGCAATGCAAAACGTCACGCTTGCATTGCTTAATGTCACAACTCAGACTGCGTTATTTGGTCTAAACTTATGTTTTGGCATTGTCATTTGCTGAGCTGCCTCCGCATGTTGCGGCGATTGGCTCTCCAAGTGCTGTGCGGGAAAGCAGACGCACGGTTTTTTTTTAGAGTGAGGAATTACGCCGGTAAATATCCTGAAACATATTGTGTTACTCATTCTTCCTCGGCGTATTGAAGTGTGCTGGTTAAGCTACAAATATAAGCGTAAGTGAAAAATAAAACCAAAACAATTAAGGACAGTACAAATCTTCCTTTCATCTTGCAGGGTCAACATTTGTTGTTCTGTGACGTTCCCTACTTTTCGTCTCCCGCTTTGTCAGGCTCTCACTCAAGCGGTAGCGGTTGTAGCTGTCACAGTATGTCCCTAAATGTTCACGTCAACAGGTAAACGGTGAACATGCTGATGAATTTCCTTAAAACCTACCTGCGCTGCGGCACTTGGAATGCTAACGTCCTATTGCCGAAGCATCACCTTTGTTATATCGTTTTCATGGAATGGTAATTTTACATAGACCTACATTAAATATAAGTTTTCGTTGCTCCGGCTGCTCAGTGACGAGGCAAAAAGGCGCGCGCTTTGGTTTGAATGGCCCCTGCGTAAACAGTTTGTTTTTAAATTTTATTAAATTAGCTTTATGATAATTCCAAAAAACCTATTTCCGCGCTCCTTGGTTATTGTCAAGACACAATAATCTTGTTTACTTGTAGCATCAAGTATAACATGCTAGTAAGGTTTCTTAGCTACCTTCGGACTTGCCGTGGACCCATGATTCCGTTGGCAAGCCGCAGGTGTTGTTCTCCATACAGCCTCGTATAATAACCGTATAGTTTATGAACGGGTGAAGTTCCGTTAGCCGAGCCATCTTCTGGTTTTTGTCTGAAAGATCTTCACCAATCACAGACGCCGTTTTGTATTTTGCTGTGTCTTTGGTACCCCGAGGAAAGTAGGTCACCTGAGATACAAGCGAAGGAAACCATCTGGTTATATGAGCGCTTATTGCAACATCATGATGACTGAAGAAACAAACATTTCATACCAGTAAATTATTTTTATGGATTATCTATTCTAAACTGCGAAAAAGGACGACGATATGAGAAAACGTGGTCTAATGACAAAGGAAGCTATCATCGCCAGTACAAAAAATGGTTGCTGAAACGACCGAAAAAAACTTCTAGTCGAACTAAGATCGCAACTTCGAGAACCACAACGCATCAGTGCTCTGCTACAAATACGTTACTGAATGAGATTATTAGAGGGCAATAATACCGCCTGCGTGGCCGAGAAGGAACTATTATCCGTACCTCTAGAAGATTCGTGCTTCCTATTACACCGAGTGTAATTGATAGGGATTCGGAGGCTTGAATTTTAGTTTGACGCTTGTCGACACCTCACCATCCGCAGCAATTCTGCTAGAGGTGCGGGGTAATTTATATACCCTTACTTCGTACACCCCGAGGAGCAGTGAAGAAAGTGCGACCCCGAGGGGGGGGGGGGGGGGGGGGGGGGGAGCCGCGCAGAAAATTTGCAAGTAAACCTATCCCCGAAAGTTGACCGCGCGGAACCCTAAACCCGAGCAAGTCACAGTACCTAAGGCCAGCCGCCTGCATTTGGTCCATTCGTGAAAGTACAAATGAAAAATTCGACGAGCCAGGATATGTTACTCCAGGGCATACTTGGGTAGTAATTCAATTACAGTAATTAAATTACTGTAATTTAAATACTTTTCCTGGTAATTTGTAATTGTAATAATTACTTTTGGCTAAAAGGAATTGTAATTGTAATTTAATTACTTTCTAGCGTCAGTAATTGCTAAATTTCAGGCACAATTACAATTACTTTTGCAAGATTTTGCGGCGTCGGCGCTTTTCCCCCCTGGCCACGGAGACGACAGCACTGCCAAAGCGACAAGGGAGAGAGTGTCTCCCAACCTGCTCAAAAAAAAAAAAGGGAAAAGAGGGATGGGAAAGAGACGCTGGGATAGAACGGAATGAAGGATTTTGTAGACTTTAAAACGATTTAATGAAGAATTTGAGAAATAATTTGATAAATGAGGGGGCTACATTCGCATCCGTTTTTGTTCCTGTCGTAGTTGAATCTGACACTTCGTCTCGTTCGCTTCCTGTTGCTCCTGTTTCTAATGGTCTTTCTTATTTCTCATTCCCACACGGGGGCATCGGGGGTCGAAGTCGAGCTAGTTGGCTCCGATCACATCATCCGGTCGAGGCGGGGAGGTTCGAGGTTCTCCTTACGCGTCTTCGCCGCTAGCATATTCGCTTACATATTTCAGTCAAGTTTGGGGACTTTTTTGTTCATGAAATTATTCTCTTTTCTTTATGAGTTTTTTACGTCCTTCTCTTCTATCTCGTATGCTGGTACCACTAACAGTAAGTCGTGCTACTCTAACATCGAGGCGAAGAAGCAAAGAAGCAGCAGGTCTCATTAACACGACGCACCCTGCCTTACTTCCAACTGTTGTTGCTACACTGCTCTTCCTTCTCCCAATCCTCGTCTGCCTTTTTGTATAAATCTTCATTATTTAGTGTTCGCTCTACCTAACCCTTTCAACCGTTCGTCAGCCTGATTGGACGAGATTCCAAAACTTACAAACCGCGGCTTTAGACTGTAGGGAGCTTGTTTTTACATTTGTTGTTCGTTGAAGGCTTTTTTTTTTTTTATAGAGGGCTTGACTTGCACTTTGTTTTTACACCTCTATCATGACCCTCCACGCGTTGTCCTCTCGTCCTGGCCTGTGGAGCCGTTCCGAGGCGCGCAGTGCTGCTTTGCATTGAGAACCTGCAACAGTCTTATCTACAATGGAAAAGAAAAGGCTGCCGGGGCCTTGTTACGAAAAATTCTTTAAACAGATTAGCAGCAGTGTAAAAAATATAATTGTGAGGTGCAAAACTCTCCGCACCGTCTCTGAAAACAAATTCAACAAACCGAAAGGCGACCTCCAATTTGCGGAAACATTTGCAGGTTAGCAACTTTTTTGTCACTTTCAATAATACTTAGTTTAAAAAAAAAATAATAATGGCTCGTCTATATCTTCCAGCTGCAACACGCTCAAGTAAATTATGAAATTGAGGCATCCAAGAGGCCGCAGTTCTGGAATAATTCGCGGATTCTAATTTTCGCGACGCGGTGGGGTAGCACTATAGATTCAAATGTGTTTACATTTTCCGGAATTGCTCGCGGGACTTATTTTTCGCGAATTGTAGGCGAATCGCGAAATTCGCACAAATAAAGTCGTTTACAGTGCATTATGAATTTGCATAATGCACTGTAATTTGGTTGTTCTTGCCATGCTAAATTCAAATCGGTCTTCTTTATGAGACGCATAACATCGATACAATCATTGCTATCCTAATGATTAGCTGTATGACAATCCTAAATTTATTATCTATATCAGGAGCTTTTTCGGTGTTAGCGTGCAGTGAATTAACCCAGAATCCCTGGCAATAGAGTTGCTGCTATTGTGACACTAATTTTGTGAAAGCGACCACAGTTCGCGTGCTACGGTTACCCACATCCGGCATGTTACAAGTCCACAGACAGGGAGAGGCAGCGAATCATCGTGGCTGAAATGTTTTCGTAAGTTGTCGTATTCTTTAAATGTTTGACGTCGTTTACAAGTTTCTCTTATTAGCTATTTTTACGTGAGTTTTATGATACCGTACTGCCGCATATTTGTTTCCTTGTATTATTTTTAAGTTTATTTTTCGTTGGTTTGACTTGGATACCGTTTGCATAAGCTCTAAGGAGATTCACATGGCACCTGTGAATTTTGTCGCCATTTATTTTTAGTTTTTGAGAATATAAGAATGCAGGAGTTCATTACTCCAAACTATTAAGTTCTATAATCCATTTAACAAATTTCATAAAAGGAAAGTACAATGCGTGGCATTTATACAGCGGCCATATAACTCGTTTACAGTTATATGACCCAAAGTGGGTAACTCTCAGAAATAAGTAATTGTAAAGTAATTGCATTACTTTTAAAAAGTAATTTGTAATTGCAATGAACTACTTTCGCGTAGTAGTAATTGTAATTGTAGTTAAACTACTTTGGGAGCTAAGTAATTGTAATTGTAATTAAATTACATTTTGAAAGTAATTTACCCATGTATGCTCCAGGGCTAGCCAATCGAGACGCCTGCTGCTGCATTCGCTGTTGTGTTCCTGCCCATCGCACCTTGTACGCCGACGCCCTACCACGGAGAAGTTTACGAATACCTTGACGACTGTATAGAGCAGTACAACGATTAGCACGGCATAACCCATGGACACTAGAGCAGAGTGTCCAAAACACCTACTTCTCACTGGATTAAACGGCCTGTCTCTGGATCCAAAATCACAAAGCACCCCCCACCTCCAACGAAACGTTGCAAAGAGCAGCTGCACCATGTCCTTGCGATCCAGCAGCGTCGGGAACACGCAGAACTACCCCTGGCCAAACTTTAAGGACCTACTAAAAGCGTTGAAAGCTTCGTCGAAGACGTGCTCCAGCTATTGAACCGGGTCGATCTCCAAGCACAGGAAGTGTGGAGCTCACTATTCTTATGCGAAGAATAAAGAAAAGCATCTTCGGGGGCATCGTTTGAAACTCGCCTGCGACGGCCGACGTATTCTTGATGGAGCGCGAACCACACGAACAACCAAGCGCGAACCACACACTCAACGACTGTCCAACGTCACTGCTCTGCGTTGGCTAGCCTCGAAACCGGCGCCGGCCTGCTTCCGTGCACTCGAGAAATGATGTGCGACGTCATCCGGGAGGAGCTCAGAAAATTTCTGCCTGCTGCCGATCGCCCGTCTTTAATTTCCTTTGCGGAAATGGTAAAAAAGGAGGTCCAACGAGCCATTCGACTTGAGGCTTCCTTAAACCTAGCAACAGAGCTTGAGGAAGCGCCGTCGGCGACGTTCACCGTGATGACCATGAGGCCAGCTGTAGTGCGCCGTCGATACTCGGCGCCGCCTCGACGGGACACACCGACGCAAGTGTATGCTCTGTGTTAAGACGGCTAGGCCCAGTACGCCCGCTCGGAACCAGCTGTGCCGGGGAAAACCGTTGTGTGGCAAACGGCCGATCACTGGTCGCTGTGCTACCATTACGGGGAGTTCGACTGAATCTACCGCCGTTGCCCCTACCATCAATCAGGGCTGCGTGACTTCCTCCCGAACGACACACACCCACGCTAAAGTCAGCGATCGCGGGAAATCGACGAGTACATTCGACGACCTCAGTATCTCCCTTCTGTACCTCACCGCGGATCTCGGTCGCCGTCATCATGGCGTGCAGCTTCGCCAATGCACAAACGTCGTCGTGAGAGCCTCTCGACCCTCGTCGGGGAAACTGAGCGCGGCAACTCCTGGAGGTGGAGTTGCCACAGACCAACTGTGCAAAGACTCTCCACGAAAATCACCAGTCAGCAGAGCGATGCTTCTGGCAAGTTTCCTAACAACCTTTTAACGCTACCATAAACTGTCACGACAGATCGGCCCACGTAGACACCGGCGTAGACTACTCCGTTATGAGTGGAAAGCACCCACGCTGTCTTCGGAAAGGTACGACGCAGTGGGTTGGCCCACACATTTAAACCGCTGGAAGTTCTGACTGACGGAGGTGCTATCCTGACAGACACAGAAAACTTGACGCGCATGGGCAATAGCGTATATATGGACACGCCGGGAACGGCAAGCCCTGGCCATACCGGTCTATGCAATGGCGATCACGGAGTGGTTCCGCAGCCAGACTCGGGCTATGATATCCCGGAACAGCTAGCCTACGCATCTCAGGTGTGGTAAGGACGATTCGCACACCTGGACAGTGACTCCGACTGCAATCTCTGAACGGCGAGCGATAACCGGGGTCGGTGGTCCGGGACTGCCGGCTTTCGAGGACGGTCAACCGGGAAGTACAGTAAACTCGTTTGCTGTCTTCTCGTTGTGTAGTGTCACACTTTGGGAGAGGAGCGAAGCAGACCGATCGGGCCACGATTATTATGGAGCAACCCCACAGCGTTAAAATAAAGAGATCCTTCCTTCCAAACTTTAACCCTCCTTTAATGGGCGTCGGGTAATGCGTGAAAATGTTTTAATGGATATTTCTGAGTAAAATATTTCCCTTCCAGCGGAACACTCTAAATTCTTCTGGGTCTCGTGAGGTTTGGCCCCAAGGCGTTATTTGTTGCCGAAGTACTCTTTTTTTTTATTAAGTGTAAGTTTTTCTCAGGTTAGCCTTATAATTGCCAAAGTGCCAGATATTTGGCAAGAATGCCACCTCAACCCGACAAAAAAAAAAATAAAAGAAAAGCCCATAGCCTAGTTTTGGCATTTATGTGGCAATTTAGGCCCAAATTTCCAAATTATTATCGAACCCCAATTTAAGCCTAATTATGGCATTCCCTCAGAAACTAGGCCCAAAGAAACCAGGTGACGACATAAGAGCCACAGAGTTAATCCTAATGATCCAGTCAGAGGGGATAATTTATTGCACTTCCGCCAAGTGCACTTGCCTTGAGTGTAAATTCTGTGGTGTGCCACACGAAATCTTCCTGACTAATACACTTGGTTTCACGTAAATTTGACGAACTTACTTCACTCGATCAGTGCGTAACCTCGATATTAGTTTTTCAAAAGTAGAACATAACACCACAGAAACCTAGAACTTGGAGTAAATTTTATTAAAATAGTATTAAGAATTTTTTGAAAGTACAGAAAGGGGGGGTCATTGCAAAAAAAACAAACAAAAAAAAAACAAAAAGATAGTGTGGCGGATAAAACCTTAAAGATTAGGCTGATCTATACCAATATTATCGCCGCGGTAAATCGATAAAAGACGAAGACCGAAGCCTAGTTTAATTATCAGTCATTTCAATGTTATCTTGGTTAGCAGAGGAAGATAGAGCCTGCATTCGTTTCAGCATGTTGTTAAACGAGAGAGCGCGAGAATCATGATTTAGCAAGGCAGTGTCAGAGCCTTTTCGTAGACCCTAGTGCAGTGGTTCCCAGCCATAGATGTGTCGGGGACCCCTTGCGGACCGCTGGCAGTGATGGGGGACCCCTTCCAGCGGGGGGGGGACGTTAGTAAGTTAAGACATCTGGAGCATGAAACAGGTGCCTTTTATTGCTACGTAGCAGGAAAACATAAAACAAAGGTGCCACATCACTTCATTCTGGTCAGTTCATCAAAACTCGCGTTTCAAACTACAATAAAACGTGCCAACTAAAAAAAAAAAATTGTTGAGGGTCTCGCGGATCCCAGAAGTGGCTTCGCGGACCCCCTGGGGTCCGCGGACCCCTATTTGGGAACCACTGCCCTAGTGGGACAAAGCGGAGCGCAAATGTTGGATATTTTTTCTTTTTTAACTTGGCTTGCGTTGATCGATCATCCAATTGGCGTAAAGACCGCTCATAAACAGAACGTTCTTTTGTAACGTGTCTTCATTAAATACCCATTTGACCTGCCTAATAGTACTTTACCCATCGTTATTGACATCATTTGCGAGCGAACCTAATTATTTCCCTGTGGCATTGAAACACTTGAAGTGAGATTCGGTAAGCTCAAGTGCACTCGACTGAAATTAGCCCCTCTCACAGGAGCATAACTGTGGAACTTTGGTTTCAATTTAGGGAGGAAATACTGAGACTCTGGCCAGCATTTTTTTTTTTTTTACTTTTTGAGTTAAGATTTGCATTTGATTTGTTCTTGTGCAATGCACTGTGCTGTTAAGACTGCTGACTGGACGAGTTTTTAGTTCATGCCGAATAACGTAACAGCGCACAACTTGGGCAGTTGCTCGACTTTGTTAATGAACATTAATACAATTCTGTAAGAGGACGCTTTTTGCACCTAGAGTTATGTAAGGAATCCACCATATAGGAATCTTTATCGCTGTAGATGCTTTAATTCACTAGGTGTTTTCTTTGTACACTTTATATTAAATTGCTGATATAGGTTCTCTGTATTTGCTATGGTTTAATACTTACATTGAAAGTCATCTTGTCCCAAAGGGCCGTCCAAGTAACAAGGGCAGAGTATGGCTTCAACGGAATAAAACCCACATCTTTTATCCCTGAAAATATTATATCAACTTGTAAGCATATTAACTTTAGCCTTTGCAAGCGGCTTTATTTCTGTCACTAAAATGTCCGTCCACTGGCGTTAAAACGCCTGCAATTATGTTTTTTAGAATCCCTGCAGTAGCACAGTAGAAGGTATTGCCAGAATTAACAACAGCTCTGCATTAGCTCACTCTGCAGACGCGAAATCGACAAAAAAAAACAAAAAAAACGGCAATCACGGGTTGTGATTAGATGTCATGGTTCCGGCTGCTCGGTCTGGGCTACAAGATAGCCTATGGGCGACGTTCTCAATGTACTCATATATCGTTAATATTGTTAGGAAAAAAAAATGAAAGCCGTTTACAACTCTCTGTAACACCTAATTAGAGCGCAGCTCTTGAGGACGAGGAGGGAAGGGTACTGAGGGAAAGTATACCCGTCCTCCTCCTCCTCCATCCTGTCTGCTATTCCTCTCTCCGAGCGGCGTCGCCGTCGCTTTATGAAAGTCACGTGACCTCATGGGGGTTATGTGACGTAACCGGGGTCACGTGACCCATGTGAGGTCACGTGACGATGACGTCATCACAATGACGTCATTAGTGACGTCATCAGTGACGTCACTGATGACGTCATCACTGGCGATGACGATGCGGATGCCGGTGACGTCATCAGTGACGTCACTGATGACGTTATCAGTGACGATGACGATGCCGATGCGGATGCCGATGACATCATCAGTGACGTCACGCGTCCCATAATGCACCGCGCGGTTACACCGACGGCGACACCAACGGCGACTCCGCTCAAGCGGGAAACGGGCGCCTAAGAGCTGCGCTCTAAAAGAGACAGCTTCATAAAAATTGCCACACAAATCGAGACTGTTCTTGTGTGAGAAGTTCGGTTGTACTCGTACCGGCCATCCGTGCAATTTTGTCCAGATTTCATGAGCAAATATATACCGGATAAATACCCTCACAATATGGACGCCTCCGTTACTTATAACATTCTTTTATAATTAGATGTGAGTCGTGCATAACAAGGAATCAAGGTTGAGATCACTAATAGCAAACAGAACGTGCCGCCACCAAAATACACTTTTTATTTAGAAAATAAATTGAAACGTTTTGTTGGTCATAGGTTATGGAACTTAATGCCTTATTAAACAGAAAAAAAAACTTAAAATATCTGCTACCAGTAAGGAACATTCTCCATGTCTCTCCCGCTTAAGAAAGCAATCGTTGTCTAGAAAACTAGAGAATGCTCGTCACGTTTGTCATCCGCCGCCCTGACACAAATAGAAAGAGAAGAGAAACTTCCTCATTATGCGGGAAGGCCCTGACGAATTTAACCATTGTTCAGTGTCCAGGTCTTGTCACTTTACCAGTAAGGGACAATGGACAGTAAAGCTCTCCGTGTACTCGTGACCCAAGGGCGTTATTAATATTTTGAACAGTCTTGAGGAAACATCTCTTCATTCCAACGAGACAAACAAGGGATGCATTTACACAGTTGGTTCCTAAACTGCTGTCCATGGCTCGTATTAGCGTTTCTATATTTACGATTATGAATAGTATCAGGGCATATACAAAGTGGTTTTCTTAGTCGGTCCAAAATTATTTGAAAGGAAGCGAAATTAAGATTAGCTTGCTAACTAACTAAAAGGTTGTAATTTGTATAATTTAATTTTAAATTTAGAGGTTGGTGTGTTTGGATATTTATCACTCGACATTGTTATGGCCATCCGCGCCGTGAAATCTTTATTAAACAATGCACTGTGAGAAAGCGGGTCGGATAAAACGTTTTTGGGACACTTAATTTTGACGTCAGGAGACGTTACGTGGCGGGACCTTGATATACCTGTAAAATGTATTGGGGAAATAAACGGAAGGACGAATAAACTGAAACATTTTGATTTTAGATGATTCTGTTGAAACATATTCAATGCCTTAATTGACCCTTTGTCAAATCCCACCCACCAACATCTCCACTCCCGACTCTTCGTGCAGATCTCTGAGGGTAAAACACGTGATCAAACTAGAGCTCGTGTCAAAAGGTGAAGAACACTATTGCCCAAAGCATGCCTGAGTGCCTGCACAAAATATATTAGAACTGAACAATTCGCGCTGCAGCTATACTAGCGCTCACCTTCGAAAGAGTTTTATTCATCGCAATTGCTCTTGAAAATTTTCGGTAAAACGAATTGAGTCAAAGGACGTTGTTTTCCCACTCTTTTTAATTATTGTTCGTTTGGCTAGAGGATGGCAACATTGCGTTTGTATCCCTAACATGCTTCTCTAAATGCCTCCAAAAACTAAACCGAGTGCTTTAAAGCAAAAAAATGTAAACTATGTTTCTTTAAAGATATGACCAGAAATGAGTAACAGAACTCACCCAGAAAAAAAGATGAATTATTTACTTGCAGTCGCATTTGTTCAATCTGCTTGTTAACTTCCATAGAAGCTGAGGTGCAGATCACTCCTATGGGAAGTGTACAATTATTGTCATTTACACCGATCAGATGCATTACCAAGACAAATTGTAAACCTACTTCTAAACATAGTACTTTGAACAACGGGCTAATCGGCAGTAAAACGTTATTTTATTAACCTCGGAGATCGAGTTGAACATATTATTATTAAATTATTTTCACTGAACTTTGGCTAAAGATTCTTGATTCCTTGAACTGCAAGCTTTAGGTATCTTAAAAAAAATATTTAATCGCGTATTTTGTGCCAGGAAACACGTCCGGTGAGCGGACGTGTTTCCTGGTTCTCCTCGAGCATCCGAAGCTAAGTGCCAGTTTTTGTTCTTTTTTCTCTCTTTTTTTGAGAGTTGATTGGACGTGACTATGCGGTAGCAGTATTAGGTTTGAACCGGTTTGAACAGCAGCACTTGAAGTTAGTTTCGCAAAGTAGGCTCTCTTTGAATTTTTGGCGGGAAGGGACGGTTTGTTCCCGGTCTGGACATGGATCTAGATTTGGGTCGGCATGACAAGGGTGGGGACGAGTTGGTGCAGTGCGAGGGGTGTGGGAGGTGGTGTTACCTAGAGGAGACGGGTTTCGGAAGTCTGGAGGAGGCGGCGGGGAGGAGTTTCGAGTGTCGGCTTTGTGTGAAGCTTCAGCAGGTAACTGGGGAATGGGAGGGTAGAGTTCGGGAAATTGAGGCCCAGCTTAAGGTAGAAGGAGAGAAGCGGGTGGGTCTCGAGGCCCAGGTTGAGGAGCTGACTAGGCAGCTTACTCATGAGAGGGAGCAGCGGGTCGGCCTCGAGAAGCAGGCGGAAGAGCTGGGGGAAGTATGGAAGGCGGGTTTAGAAGAGCGTAAGAGGGAGTGTGACAGTAGGGTAGAGCGCCTGGAAGGGGTAATTCGAGCGAGTGAGAGTAGCGAGGGAAGAAAGGAGGAAGTGTCACTTCTAGCGGGACGAACCGCCAGTCTGCAGGCTGGGGTCACTGGTGGTCGGGAGTCCAGCCTGTTGGCTGGCGGGCTCGACGACGCTGGAGCTGAGTGACACTCAGCTCAATGGCGCCCTCGAGCAGCAGGCGTCGAGCAGTCAGGAGACAGGAGATAAGTCGCAGGACAAAGGCGCGCAGGCACCAGGGGGATCTAGGGTACTGGTAGTGAGGAGCTCTAACGTAGCACGGGTTGAGAGGGGTGTGCATAACAGGGTGAAGGAGACCAGAGGGTAACCGTAGAGGTCCAGCCAGGGAAGTTTGTTGTGGATGCTATGACCGCAGCACGCGAGGGGGTGTGGGATAACCGGGAGGGAAGGAACCTAGTAATAGTTCATGCGGGGCTTAATGATGTGCTCAAGTGTAGGAGCCAGAACCTTGGAAAGCAGCTAAACGTGGGAATGCGTAAGCTGAGGGACATGTCTGAGAATGTGCACTTGATTGTGTGCACCATTCCAGAAGTTTGGGGGCAGTCCGGGGCAACGGAGAGGAGGGTTGTCGAAGCCAACAGAGTAATTAAAGGTATGAGTCGACAGCTTCGGTACAACGAAATGGAAGTAAACAGGGAAGTGTACGAGGCTGGCTCCCACCCTATTGCAGATGGCATTCACTACAGTGAGGCCACGGGTTACAGGGTGGGGGATAGGATGGGCCGCACGGTGACTGCTTTTTTGAGGGGACCGAGGGCCCTGGGGGCACTGAAGTAACTGAAAACCCAACAAAGTCAGGAGAGGCACCCAGGGTTAAAAAGAGGAGAAAACGTAAGAACAGGTATAAACAAACAGCACAATCAGACATTGGATATATTAACATGCAGGGTGGTAGAAATAGGTTAAAATGAGAAGAGGTAGAGGAGCAACTAAGAAAGGAGGATTTAATGGTGTATGGGTGTGTGGAAACACATCTCAGAGACATGGAGCAGCCACCTTGCAACCCTGACTTTGTGTGGGAACAATGCAACAAAATGGGGGGAACGAGGAAGGGAGGTGGAATTGGAGCCTTTATTAAGAAGAATATAATAATAATAATAATAATAATATTTTTATTTCCATCACACTCGATGGTGGCGACCAAGGGAAAAAGCTGCATACACAGCTTGACGAGCCCTTGACCGCCTACAGTGCACGGCGACGGAACACAACAGGAAAAAAAAAAAACATACATACACACAGAGGTTGCAACACGCAAAAATTCACCATGGCAGATAAAGCAATATAATCAAATACGAGAACAGTGTTTTAACTAGGTATCATGACCACCCATAATATATAATGAACGGATTTCCCCTATTGACATTTTATTCCAGTCCAAGTTTTTCGATTCGTAAAGATTTAATAAATTAGGAATATTGTGCCTCAGCATTTGAGTGCCATAATTTGTTCTTGGCGTGACCACCCCCCAACATTCAGCGCCACGAGTAGGATAAGTAATAATATTTTTTGAGAGGCGGCCAAGGGTTACTAGAAAGTTTGTGTTCCTAATTAGTTCTATCTTAAGGCTTGTACTGAGCCTGTAAGCATACAAAGTGTGTACATTGATAATGCGGAACTTTTTGAATAGGTCGGATGTATGCGATTGAAATGGGACATCGGCTATGGCTCTTATTGCTTTTTTTTGTAACAAATGTATCCTTTCAAGATTCGTTGAAATGGTGGTACCCCAAACTAAATTACAATAATTTAAGTGCGAGTAGAACAAGGAATTATAAACTAGTAACTTGACGTGTATCGGTAAGGTATAACGATGGCGGTTTAACATGCCGACAGTTCTAGACAGTTTTGTAATAAGGTAGTTAACATGTTCATCCCACGACATATTATCCGAAAAAATTACGCCTAGAATTTTGAAGGAATTTACAATCTCAATCTTGGTTGAGTCTAAACTAAGATCTCTCGTAGTGTTGATTATTTTATTTTTAGGGCGAAAAAGCACTGCTTTTGATTTTTCTGTGTTTATTTGAAGTGAATTATATGTTCTCCACAAATTCAACCCGGAGAGCATTCGGTTCGCCTTATCAAATAATAAGTCGGTATTTTCTGCAGAGAAAAATATACTTGTGTCGTCAGCATAATTTACAAATTTCGCTTCTGAATCTATATTTATTATGTCATTTATGTATATATTAAAGAGAAAGGGACCCAATATACTACCTTGTGGTACACCAGAGCTTTCAATGAACTTTCAAAGGATCAGAAAGGAGTGCGCTGAACATTTGTGGCTGAAAGGAAAAGTCGCTGGGGAATCAACAGTCTTTGGAGTTGTTTACTTCTGGACAGGGACAGGTGCTAAAGAGGAAAACAGAAAAATGATTGATTGCATATCAAGAGACACTAGTGAGCTAGGGGAAGGTTCTTAAATAACTATTATGGGAGAGATGAATGCCCATATCGAGGGTCTGGAGGGGTATACGGACTCAACTGGAAGCATATTACTAGAACTGGTAGAAAAACATGACTTAGTTTTATGTAATACCAGTCAGAAGTGCGACGGGCACATAACGTGGGAAACTGGCAATCTACATTCAACTATAGATTACGTACTCATGTCACACAAAATATATGGTAAGTTACAAGTAATGAAAATAGAGGAAGAAGGTTCCAAAAGTCTTGGTTGTGATCACAAGCGTACTAAGCTGAATTTTGCCAGAGAAATAATAGCTGAAACTAGACAACACAATTCAAAGCAAACTTTCTGCAGCGACAAAAAGTTGGAAATAGTTGATAAAAAATAGAGGAAGCAGTTTCAGGGCAACGGTATACAGATTGGACCTATGAGAGCCTAACCAGGCTTTTTGCTCTGGAACTTGACAAAGTTCAGAGCAAACGAATGGGGAAGCAAGGGCATAGACCAAAAAGCTGGCGGGACAAAGAAGTGAAGCAAGCGATACAAAAACGTCAAGGAGCCTCTAGAGAACACAGGTATTCCAAGCGCAGTGGAGATTCAGAAACGGAAGTAAAGAGAAAATGGGACACGTTTATGACATGTCGCCGAGAGGCATCCAGTTTGATCAATGCGAAAATTCAGAGAAAGGGTGAGGAATGGATGAGTAATGTAAGCAAGAAAGATAGAAACGCAGCTAGGAAGTTTTGGGGGCACTTGAACTCACTCGGTGAAATGACGCAAGCTAGACAGAGGTTCATACTCTCGCATCAGGGAGATCAATTAGAGGGAGGTGATGCGATACGATATATAGGAGCAGTGATGGAGAAGAAATTTCGGGAACGGGTACATGTGGAAGATAGGAGAACCGAAGGAAGTAGCAGCCCAGCTTGTGACATCGCGGATTTTGGACAAAGAGAATGGGAAAAGGCGGAACGAAGAGTCCCTAGTGGCACATAGACAGGCACAGATGGGATCCCAATCAAGCTGGTGAAGAATTTGGGTCCTAAATCTAAGGCAAAACTAAGGAAGGTAGTGAGCACTATGATAACAAAATGAAATATTCCAGATAAATGGAGGCTTTGTAGGTTGAGTATGATATATAAGGGAAAGGGAGATAAGTTTGATATTAGGAATTATCGTCCCATAACCGTGACACCAGTTATTTACAGGTTGGTAATGCAGATTATAAAGAACAGACTGGAGGAATGGGTAGATTGCGAGGGCATACTGGGCGAGTTACAGAACGGGTTTCGGAAACAAAGAAGGTTGGAGGACAATATATTTTCTCTAACACAGTGTATAGAAATAGCGCAAAAACAAAAAAGAGAGCTCTGGCTGGCATTTCTGGATATCAAGGGTGCCTAAGACAATGTGAACCAAAGGAACCTGTGGGACATAGTGGAGAGCTTAAACCTAGATGAAGGACTAACAGCCCTATTAAGGAACATTTACACATATAATATGGTGATTATAACATAGGAAGGAAAGGCGACGGGGAAAATAGAGATAAGACGAGGCCTTAGGCAGGGGTGCCCGTTATCGCCTTTGCTGTTTATGTTGTATCTGAGAGGATTGGAGGATAGACTAGAGAAGAGTGGGCTTGGATTCGACCTTTCGTACAGTAAGCTAGGCCGAAAAATTCAGCAATCC